ACGACGAGCACAGAACGGCTTTCCGGATACGTAACGCCACGCCATGATCCGTTCTGCAACTGAGAATCGAAGTGATTCACTTTCTCGAAGTATCTAATACGCAACTTCACTCGGTACCGGCGACCATGTTTGTTTTGGTGTCGGTGTTTACGTCGCGCGTAAGAAACGATGTTAAGACGACCTTACGGAGAAAACGTTCAAGTGCTGTAAATGTAAACACTTGATTGAATATTTGAGTGTTTTTTCGACGTAAAGTCGTCTTAACGTCGTTTCTTACGTGCGACATAAACAAAAAGCAAAACAAACAGGCGCGAAGGCACGAAATGTTTGTCATTACAGACTACGATACGCGATATGAAAATGATGCAAAAATCGAAAAATTGTAAAGCAAAATAAGCATCTCGATTGCGCGATGGATTGTCGACATTCTCGTGAGAAACTCACTTTCGATACACGTTTCACGATACATTATTATGAAGTACACGCGACATTTATTATCGGCCTAACCCGACAACGATTCATGCGCGGGATTTGGCTCGGCCGAGCCGAGGTGATTGAGTTTCTCGAGGTATCAAATACACAACCTCCCTAGATACCGGCGATGTGAGATTTTTATTGTTATGGCGCCTATGTAACGAAGTTTCGTCAAAATGATCGCACGAAACTTACTTTGGGCGCTACAGACGACGACTGTGCGACGGGCTGCTCCGATGGCCAAGAATACAAAAGTCCAAGAGCGGAAATTGTGAATCACTGTAATCGGCCCGAACGCGAGACGGATCGTCGACGTTCTCACTTTCGACTCACGATACATTGTTACGAAGTATGCTCGACACTTACAGTCTGTAAAGTAAGAGCGTGCACGGCATAAATGGCAGTTGGCTTCAAATATCGTCCTAGTTTTTTTGTAAGCCGATAGATGAAATCTTTGTCGTGAATGCTTTTTCACAAAAGATTCGTCAGTTGGCGTCGAACTCTAACCTGAGAAACACGTTAACCGCCATGAGTGCCGCATACGCATCGCGCTACGAGGCTGTGTTTCTTTGTTCCCAAAGGACCAAAAATGTCATATGCTGTCAGTGGCTGCTAAATATATGGGAAAGTCAAAATCGTTCGTCGCTAAGTGGGTTCAGCAATATAAGAAGATCAAAAATGTCGATGATTTGCCAGAACGTGGCTCGATAGGCAAAGTGACGCCGAATATGGAAAAAAAAAATTGTGAATTTGTTCAAGCGGAACCCGACCTTAATGCTTAAAATTTATGAGAAGTGTTTGTTGCCGACTGCTGAACGATGCTTCATAAAAGAAAAAACGAGGACTGGATCTTACAGGAAGACAACGACCCAAAACACCGGAGCAAGCTTTGCACCGAGTGAAAAGAGCAGTCTGGCATCGTCACACTTGATTGGCCATCGCAGTCGCCAGATGCAAATCCCATTGAAAATGTGTGGGCATATCTCAAGCACAAGTTTCGAGGAAAAAGAGTGTGCACTTTGAAGCAGCTGACACGACAAATTCGTCTCATTTGGAGGTCTTTACCGAACGAATACGCAATCAACTTAGTGGGAAGTATGCCTCGGAGATGCAGGCAATTATCAATGCCGGTGGTGACTGGACTCATTATTAATGGTATAGCATTTTTTTCTCATGGAGTACAACAAATCCATGTACTTAAAAATCATTAAAAATAAATTTTTCTACACATTAACCCGTGCACGCTCTTACTTTACAGACTGTATTATCGGCACTCTCGGCGATGAGTACGCGGACTCATCTCGGGTAAGCCAAAGTTGCAACGAACGCAAAACAGCTGTCCGTGGGTTCACGTCGTGATCTGTTCTTCACTCATCCATTCATTCAATAAATGCTGTGCGCTGGAAAAGCCCAGACTGACAAGCCAACCCCTAGACCCCATGTAATCTGCGTGAATAAAGTATTTGGAATCAATGACTATTCAGAAGAGATTCATTACAGCGTTCTTTGTGTACCCCTCAAGAATTTGACAATTTCTGTCCTGTTCAGTTCAGTTCAATATATGGGTGCCATACTGCATTCAGCTTTGTCCATACGCCATTTTTCAGTAGTACGAAGGTAAAAGAAAAACAGGGACAACGCGTACACAGTCCCCATGATAAAAAAATATGCGTAGTTACAGGAACCACCATCCAACCGCCATGGAGGCGAACAAAAAGGTCGTGATCTGTTCTATAAGCGAGTGAGCCGAGAAACATTAGACAAGCGACTTGTTCGTCGCTCACAACGATCGTTAGACGATGCACTTAGCTTAGCGTCTGTCTGACGCGGTATTTTGCCACGACAACTTGCTCTCGACATTATCAACGACGGTTGTTGCACATGTCAGTCTCCTCAGATGAGTCAAAAACAGAAGAATCGGGACTTGGAGTCTCTGCAACAACTCACAACAACTCACGATAATCGTTTGCATCCTCGCACCGGCCATCCCGCGAGACTCGCACTTTCGGCGATGCTCGTCATAAATGACGCGCGAAATTTACTTTCGATACTCCCGGCGACGAGCTGTGCGCGCTCGAGACTCGCCTTAGGCGAGCCGAATTCGCGATAAATACGAAACGGATTTTCGAACCCGTCCTACCGCGCCATGATCCATTTCGTAACTGATTGTGTACATCTCGCGATGGTCGGATTGGTCCGCTCCACGCAGCGAGCCGTCCAATCCCAGCGCTCCGTTTATTTGTCCACGAGCGCGCAATACGAAGCGCGTAAAATTGCCGTAAAACTGGCAACGCAGTAGCGTCAACAAACGAATCTATCTGCCTGTTCTATTCATGAGATTTCACTTTCATGTTGCATGAGAAACTTTATTCCGGCTTGTCGTGTGCAATTTAGTATGTCTTGCTCTCAGCAGCTGCACCCAGAATAAACTGCACTTTATCGGCGAAAAGTGCAGAGGGAGCAATCAGCTCTCGGCGAAGATTTTACAGTCGTGTGTCTTATCGTTGGATTTAGAGACGAGAATATTCTAAACGAAAAAGTCCAAAGTGTAGCGGAGTGTGCAATAATAAATAGGCAATGAGGGGTTAATGAGTTTAACGCGATTTCAGTGTTTTCACTCCACCAGCCTGCGTCTCGCGCCGTCGCGCGCGCTGCGCACGCATATCCCAAGCTGCGTTTGTCGTAACAAAAGTGATCCTCAGTGCCGGCGACAGAGGACGCGACGTGTCTCTACACAAGGTGAAAATATCAATATTTCTGAGACAAATCAGCAACTGTGAGTGTCATCTCGTGAACTACAGAAAAGCAACAGAAACGTGAAGTTCTGCACTCTGCACGTTGTACGGAACTCGGTGACTTTTTTTTTTTCCGGAAATGTCCCACCGTGAAACTCGTTATTCCGGCGTGCTGAAATGCAATCTTCTCGCCGATAAGGCCGACAATGTGACCGGAAATGACGTGTATTGAGAGGGAAAGTAATATTTTCGGGGGAAAATACGTAATTCTCGACGAGTCGAGCTGGTTGTAATGGAATTTTCGCCAATGGATCGAGCGGCCGCGACACACGCAACGATCGAGCAGCCGGATATCGTGTCGTTGCGGACGCAATGAACGGGAAAGAGGCACCACATGGTCGGGGTACAACCGCGAAAATTGGCACGGCCATGTTAGAGCGTTCAAACGCTCGTGGCGGCATTACGCGGCGGCATACGTCATCAATAAATAACACGCGAAAGCCTCAACAGAGAGATGCAACTGTGTGCCTTTCGCTGAGAAATATATTTCTTTGTAAAATTCCTACGGTACAATCGACGGGACAAATATGCACGGTATCTCATTAAAATATATTTCATTCGTAAATGGACACGCTGCATGCGGTGCGGTACAGTCGGTGGCGAGAGTAATAGCGGGGCACGCGGCAGATGGGTCACACCGACTGCTTAGATGATAAAATCGGGCGAGGGGCTTCATGAGAAAGATCCCCGTCGTGGCAAACTGACACGATTATGTGATTGCAGTATCGTCGTACGACGCACCGTTTCGGAGTTATGGCTCTTGGAAGTTCATTTATCGCGACGAGTCTGCGGATACTTTTGTCCGTTACTGTATCTCTAACACGACGAAGGAACCGAGCGGCTGGTTCTACCGCCGCGGTCTGTTAAAATATCGCGCTGATTGGGCGCGATTATGCTTAAAGGATGACTTTTCGATACGCGCGAGGCTCCTCACAGATGTCACCTGACGAGACAGTGTATCGAAATTCAGTCTACTTCCTCGGTACGTGTACACACACGTACGGTACTACACATCCATTCTTTTTTTCATGAAACAGAGACATACGACGAGAGATAGTTGGATAAAAATATTAACAATCAATCGAGCGGACTGCGCGAAGCGTGTCTCAGGCGTGTCGGCGACGGTCGGCTGCGGATGCAAGAGCTTCCCTCGCGCATCGATATTCGCCATCGTCATCGTCGTATTCGCATCGCCGCGAACGTGAACGTTCCTTCTTTAATGACATCCCTGCAACACACTGATTGTCATATGACGGGCGACTAGGCGCTCTCGACGCTACGAAAACTCGGTGCTTGCCGCTCGGCGTACAGTCAACGGTGAAAAGTCTCGGCGGCCCGCGCCAAGAGCTGACACATCGGACCTGTTAAATCGCAATATTGCGCCAGGGGCGTTATGAGAAACTTGTAGAGAAAAAAAAGTTGACCCGATTTGGTGTATATAGTATCCGTGTTGGTGGCCGCGGTAGAGAGTTATCGCGCGTCGAAGAGCCTTTTTCTGGAAGCGCTGCCGTTGGCGACGCGCGCAGACTGTACTGTGGACGCCGCCGGCAGCCACACGAGCGGCCGCTTGAGGTACAGTCAGTCGAGCAAGCAGTACGCGCGACTCGCACGGAAGGACCGAATTGGCACACTCGGATCGCCGAATTACGCGTGGGGCGTCATGAGAAACTTGTCGGCCGTAAAAAACTAACACGATTTGGCGTATAGATTATTCGTCTAGGTGCGATCGCTGTCGAGTTATCCGTTCTCGAAGGGCCGTCGTAAGAGAGGGTATCGCGGTGTTGCCAGCAGTGACTGTCCAACGGACGCTACGGTGTTCGCAGCCGGCATAGGCTCAGTTGGCAGCAGTACGTTCAAGTAGAAGCACCTACCATGGCCGATATCTCGAAGGACGAGCTACGCAAGGAGATCACCGGTAAGTGGCGATATCGCGCGATGTTGGCGATTCCGGCTCGGTACTAGCGCGTAATCGAGCTCGTCGCGAGCGTTCGTGTGCGTTGCGCGTAGCCGCTGCCCCGGGAATACAGGCGAAATCGGGCTCTTTGCTCTTGCGACGTGAGGACTTTAGCGCGCACGTATGTGCCCAAGTGGCGTGCCCCGCGCCGGCCATTACAACCTACGGCTCTCCGTATTTCACCACCTACGTATCGTGCTAACAGCGGGACGCGGCGACGGTACGGCCCGTGCAATTCCCTCGCGATTTTCCAAGCAGATCATTCGGTGTCCTGGCGAAAAGTCGGATATTTCGTCGTTCGCTATAAAAAGATAGCTTTCGACCCGTCCTTGCGGCGGGCCGTATGACGCGTCTCGAGTGTGTGAATGTGTGTGTATGTGTGTGTGTGTGTGTGTGCGTGTGCATGTGTGCGTGCGTGCGGTGGCGCGCGCCTATCAGCAGCCTCGCTCTCTCGCGTGCATTCGTGTGTCGCGTTGTCTTTCTTCTTTTCTTCTCTCTCGCTCTCTAGCGCTCTCTCTCTCTCTCTCTCTCGCTCGCTCTCGCATTTTCGCTCGCGTTCTCTCACGCTCTCGCTCTCTCTCTCTCTCTCGCACCCGCCGTCCCTCGCAACGTCGTTCGCGACGGATTTTTTCGCTGTCGTGGAGAAAAAAAGTGCATATCCCTGCGCGAATCTCCTTCGTGTACCGAGCGTACGAGATATGCTTGCTCGTCGATCGGAACGGAGCGCGCGCGTCGCCCTTTTCCCTCCTTTGCGCGCCTTCTCGCCAATCGCCGATTGGATCGTCATTGGTTGTAACCGCCACCACTGCCGCCGCCGTCGCCGCCGCCACCACCGATGCCAGTATTTTACCTCCTCGTCTGTTCGTCGAGATATTTACCACTTTGCTATCTTTTTCCATAATGGAGCGCGCGATGTCGTCGGGCGATGGTCTCTCGCGCGAGACTCGCCCATTGCGGATTAACGCGCCAGTCGATGCTTAACGAAGCGCGCGCGCTGCTGCTGTGCGTATTTTTTTCGCGAGCGCTTTTCGGCGAAGTGAATCGACCGAGCGCTGCCGCGCCACAACGGCCGTCGTTCCCTCTGCTTTACACACACACGTATATACACTCATACTCTCTCTCTCTCTCTTTCCTCTCTTCCTTCTCTTTGTCTCCCTCTCGCTCCTTCTCTTTGTATCTTTCTCTCTCTCTCTCTCTCTCTCTCTCTGTCTGTCTGTCCCTCTTTCTCTCTCCCCCTCATACTTTCTGTCTGTCTTTCCCCCTCTGCGTCTTCTCGCGGTTTTCGATCGTTTCGGGAATCAATGCGCTGCACGATCGACCGCGGCAGACGAAGAAAAATCCCTCTTCGTCCCGCTCCACGCGTCTTACCGACGCCTCCTCGCGTACTTACAGAGATATCTTCTCGCTGGTGGCACGCTACGCGGATCGACAACGACCGGCACGGCGCGCGCCACGGCGGCCATTTGCGCTCGATATTTACTAGATCCCCCGACGCGGGAAACCATATTACCCCAGAGCCCGCGTATGCACGACGCACCAGACCCGCGCGCGGGATGCCTTCGTTCTCGAACAAACGGCGTGGCATGTGACGTATTCTTCCTTTCTCGCACGAATATTTAAGCCTGACGCAGTAAATTTGCGCATTTTTTTTTTTTTTTTACCTGCGTTTTCGTTACGCTTTATCTTCCCATCTTAACAATGTGTTCTCAAGGATAACACCATTGAGAATGTTAGAATAATGTTGCTGCTGAGAACTCTACCACCGAAACTTCTACGAGACAAATAAAATATTTCTACAAAAAACTCTGTGTACGTCGTACTTTATAATTAATATTGATAATTTTAACAAAAATTGCGAGATATGTCATCTTGTGTATCTGATGCTATTGTTAAGTGTTATATGTAAAATGCTCCTTACTGTGCACATTCCGTTCCCATTCTTGTAGACAACTTAAGATAAAATTTCTCAATGTGCATTTCATTTACTTTATTGATTTTATGTAGCTATTCTCAAGGATGCGGATCTCACTACAATGTCTGCCAAGAAAGTGAGGCAACAAATTGAGAAAAAACTCGATGTTGATCTTACAGAAAGGTAAGCAATTGATAAAAATGTTATAAATGTTAATGTTTAGATGTTAATGATGCCCTATCAAATATATATATATATGTATATATATGTTATTTCGGTGAGATATGAAAATGATAATGCAAGTATAAATAAATGTATGTGCTCAAATACAATGCATAAAGCAATGTTTTACGAGATGTGCTATTGATTGGGAAAGGTTTCTCCCTTTGTTGATTTGTAAATATATCTTTTTTGTTGAATACATGCATTATTTTTAGAATTTAACAAAGATTAAGACGGACATACATAGCAGGTACTTGTGCACGATTAAATAGTGCAAAAGAGAGTTTTTAAATGTCCAAGAGAAAAAAAGTGGATATCTGAGTGGAACTGAAATACAGAATAAGTTACCACCTCGTTCCTCCTCTAACACTTCGTCCTGTTACTTCTTTTTTTTTTTTTTCATGTTCTTCCCACTTTGACAACAACTACTTGCGCACTTACAAACTATTTTCTCCCTGTAGGAAGAAGGAGGTTGATGATTTAGTTATGGAGTGTCTTCAAGAGAAACAGGACGGAGGTAAAAAGAAGAAGAAGGCTGCTAGTGAGGAATCTGAGGATGGTGAAGAGGAAGAGGAAGAAGCATCAGAAGAGGAAGAGGAGGAGGAAGAGAAAAAGCCAGCTGAACGAAGTCCTACTAAGAAGGCTCCCAGCAAACGTAAGAAGGGTTCATCTGATGATGAGGAGAGCGCTAGTGATGACGATGCTAGCGATGAAGAATATAGCCCAAAGAAACCTAAAGTTACACCTAAAAAAAGTAATATTCGATATTCTATTGAAAAATGTTACGCCCTGTGTACAGTATCGAATTTTGAATCTCATTCTCATTCTTCTCTTACAGATAAGTCTGGAAAAAAGGGAAAAAAGAAGGGGAGTGACAGTGATAGTGATGAAGACTGGGGAAAGAATAAAAAGGCTCCAGGAACCACAGCGAAGAAGAGCGGTGGCAAAGGCAAGGGTGGTGGTTACACACGTGCCATCACGTTGTCTCCAGAGCTTGCCGCGATTGTAGGCGCTGAACAAATGGCTCGACATGAAGTCGTGAAGAAAGTCTGGAGCATCATCAAAGAAAGAAATCTTTATGTAAGTATCATTCGCAATCATTGACCGAAAACATTTCATATTCGTTTCATACTTTCTCTCGTTATCTGCATAGCTCGTATCGGAGCTAAAATCAGCTTGTTTACTCGGAAGAAAAGATCATGATGCTAAGAATAATGGTTGTTTTTACAGGATCCTAAGAATAAACAGTTTGCGATTTGCGATGAGGAACTAATGAAGGTAATCGGCGTGAAACGCTTTAGAACTTTTGGTATGATGAAGTACCTCAAAAATCATTTTGTAGACTAAATCATCCCCAAAAATCCTGATCTCCGACAAGTTATATATACATATAACATATTCCAGGGTGCGCCGTGCACCTCTCCATCTTTCTCACAAAATACATAAAATATATACATATACATGAAACACAACGTATTTCTTGCGACTTAAGACTTTAGACCATGTTTACACCATTCCGATATAGTCTGCCGCCCATCGTAACCGTTTTGTCCCGGATACTTTATTATTATTATTATTATTGGTTATCGTTACCGATATATGACAATTGTAATTTGATATTTATAATTAGAAACATAAATAAGCAATTCTAATATAATTCTTGAAAACAGCACTGAAATTATTTTACAAGTACCTTTATCGCACTTCTGTGGTTCCATTAAATTGTTGGGACAATTGTTACCATGGACGTTCAGATGATTTCGAAATGTGGGAGACATTACAGTGGCCAACAGTCAATAAGCCGGTTTTAAGTCATCTAATTCGGAGTAAATGTTATATATCATTTGTATGGTCGTCATTAATAACGATATCTTACTCCCGACACGAAAAACATGACGTACCGTCATAACGATGGTATCTAAATGACAAACTAGAAAGGCACATTTAAATTTGAAAGTAATTCGTTCGAAGTGAATATGAACAGCTCGATTTTACCCCGTGACATTTTCACCAGCGACATTTGTTACTATCGGTTAAATTACAACGGCGGCAGTTGCTCTTTCAGTATATATGGAACTAATTGCAAATACACCTTTTGTTTTTTACGTTCTAATCTTGATGGCCTTAATTTTTCTTTATTACGGATTGCGTGATATTTTTGTCATTACTTTCCTATTCTCTTATGTTATATGCAATGTTGATTATTCTTGGATAATGGATGTAATAGAATGTCAGAATGTAGTTTTGCCTCTAGAATGAGGGAAATGTGTGTGGACATTAAAAAGAACCGCTGAAAAACAAAGAAAAGATATGCGAAAAATCAACATCCTGTACCTCTTCTGTATAATAGCTACATTATACACTGAAATTGTAAGCAAAGTTTAATTATATTATCGTGTAATTACTAATTATTGTCGTAATATAGGTTTCTTGGTGTAAAAATTGACCTAATGTTTAAGATCTAATGATAAAACAATATATTCATTGAAAGGTACGATATAAGCATATGAAAATCAGTGCAGCGATCACTGCACAATGTTGAAGTGTAGGAGATGTAATAGGCTCAACACGGAACGTGGAAATTAACCGCGCTGGTCTGTCCGAGCTTCGACATGTGTAAAATTTGTGTATTTTGAATATAAATTAAAGAAACGCAGGCCTAAGTCTCTCTCTCTGTCACGAGAAAAGCCACACGAATGAAATCATTAGTTTGCGAATACGAAAGCGCTACATACGCCAAGAAAATGATACGTGCACACGGAATGATAAATTTTAATGCAGATTCGTTTTCTAAACTCGGAAAGATGGATGATTTGATGAACTGTAATAATGTTCCGTGAATTGTATTTGGGAATGTCATTAAAAAGTATTGCTTTGATTTTTTTTTTTTAAATATTGCGTCTTGCGTGCTACTTATTTCGATAGTTTCCTCCGGCGTTCCTCTTCATGCATTGCACCCGACCGACACACGCATCCTTCAACACGCATACACTTCAGTTGTTGATAATCATGACACAGATTCGGTAGTCAACACAATAGTAAATATTGTATACATGTAATTTGTTAGCGTTTTTAATACGATACGGAATCATTGTTATTAAAACGTTTCAATTACGTGTACGTCGTAAGATCTCACGATTCTAATAGTGGCGCCAGTAGATTGTTTACTTGTAAATTTTACAAGTGCTCAAGCTCATCGTTCCAAGAACGATATAACATGCTGATTGTCATCCCGTCTGCCTCGCAATCCAAATATGAACGTCTTGAGGCTCTTTGTGTTCGTGTAATTATCTCTTCTGGTTTGAACTTCCTTATCCTGAGGCGGAGCCGCTTGTGCGTAAACAGCGTATCGAAAGTGTGAGTTGAACGTCTGCGTGCTACGCGTCGTGCATCGACTTATGTTTGCCTGAAAGATTATCACATACAAAAGTCAAATGGAATGTATCTTTCTCGTTCGTGGAATTAGAATAAAATGCAACGGCAGAATGTATATATGAAACGTATCGTAATTAAGATGCGGCAAAAAGGATAGAAAAATGTTACAATATTTATAAATATACCCAGTATATCTTGAAGGCAAATTTTTTTGTTAAATCATCAGGGTCATCGGATAACCTCTTATTAAATTCAACCACCTCTATAGAAAAAAAAAATATATAATTTATGTACGAGGCAGCTTACAAGTTATTAACATATAGGAAACGAAATGAATGAGAAGTGATTTTATCTCTACTTTGACCTCGCGCGTGTATGACTGTAAAAAACGGCACATATCTGCCATTTTTATCAAAACAGGCTATGCTAGCAGGCTACATTTTCAGCATAAGAAAGCAGATATTATGAATCGAGGAACAGCTTAGAGATAGTATGTTGCTAAAAAGTCCGAACTAACAGCAATGTGTATATCGAATATCTCTGTCACATGAAGAAAAATAGTGAGATAATTTTGATAAAATCTCATCTTCATTTTATTCATCGTTTAAAAGCTGTACATCGCACACGATTCACGGTACACTTACAAGTGATTGTGCAATGATAAATTTTGTGACACTGTAAAAACGTATTATTTACAGAAAAAAGAAACACGTCGAGAAAAGTTTAGATTTTTTTTCAATTGTCATATCGTTGATAACGAGAATAAAGGAAACGAGAGAGAAAGAACTTTGTGTATGTACGTGTTTGTGTTGAAGCATACAAAAGCACTGATTGGTCTCTTACGATGTCGATAAAGTTTGACTTACCAAATGTAAAGCTCTACGCTTGAGTTCCCAAATGCTGGACGTGTAATCCTTGTCGACGTAAGGAGGAAGTGTGTGAACATCCGTTTGAACCTTCTGATTATGACGTACCTTTAAATGAAGGCCTTCCTTTGTAAACCTGAAAAAAGGCGAGTTGTTTTACCTTACATGTCTTGTCTGGGAGAGCAACACGATGCGGTCGGTCTACAATGAGCAACTCACTCTTCTTGACTCTGCATGGCTTCGATTTCTTCGTGCAACTTGAACAGGTGGATGTATTCCGGATGATTGCGGATAAAGTCGAGCGCTTCGTAAACGTACCTGGCGATGTGTAATTGCTGAAGAATCTACCGAGAAGATTGCTCGCACCTACGTAAGCATACCTATCAGGATTCTCGCCGAACTTGACGGCTGCCTCGGACGACTTGAAGGCGTAATATTTTCCTCGCCACTTCGCCACACCATTGTTCGGATTACCCGGTATTAAAGCTCCCTTACCCACGATGAACGTCCACGCACAAAATCCTAGAAACTACAACGACACACACACACCACGTTGCCGGTCGAACGAAAATATTCAAATGTTTCTCTATCTATGTGGAAGCACATAAATTTTTAGATACTTGAGTTGCGTTCGGTAATGCCATTACCTCTAAATTGATCTTCTCAAAGTCTTTAGTGACGTTCGGGTAATATATCTGGCATTCGCCGCACTCCGCTGCGAATGAAAATACAGCCTGTATGATTTCACAGAGTTGTACGATTTCACAGAGTGTGAAATCGAGAGACGAGTACTCCAGGATGAACATTTGTTCTAACTCGAGATATTGCTAAATACTTATTAAGTTTCCCATGGAACGTTCCAATCTCTCGGCGTCGCTCAGGACATCAGCATCCTCCGCTATGTCATCCAACTTGGTTTGGTCGTAAACATTCACGGTCTGTGCGAGCGTACATGTGAATCACTCTGTATGCATATTCCGCAAATACGCAGGGATGGATATGATTGAATACACAGTTACCTTATTACTCAAACTCTGTAATTCCCACAGGAAGTTATTGACGTTACTCAAAGTGATCACCTCGTCTTGCAGTCCCATCCATATATCCGCCAGATCGATAAATTGTGGCTGATGGGCAGACATAGCGTATCAATATTTATGAATTGCGTCTCTCGTCCGGAATGATTCATTGAAACGCGTCGAAAAGCGAGGGAATATTTTATTTTACGACAACAAAATATTCCCTGCTGACACAAAAAAATATCTAACTGAGCGAAAACACTGTGACATGATGTCGCGGCGTGACACAATGTCGATATGAAAACCGGTTCCGATGAAACTATTAAAATCGATTCCGCGCAGCTCTTGGAAAAATATCAAACAGTATCTCGACATGCGGAAGAAAGAAATAATTGTATCATGCATCGATTACGATTCATTTCTTCTCTTTTTCTTTTTCGTCAATAACAATCGTATTTACGTAGACTTGAGCGGTGGGAATAGCCGTTCTATATCTGACGGTATCGTGCAACTTAAAGAATCGTCCTCGAAGACGCTCCATCAGACTTCTCACCGCGTTCTCGCTGCTCTCCACGTCGTTTAGCAGCTTTCTACGGTGGGAATCGCGTTAGAAATCGTGTCATAGATATTAAATATTACAATTTGTAATAGTTTTATAAATATTAGTTTTCACGCAAGAACACCTAATGTAGATCTCTTGCTGGCGACTAGCCGCCAGCATCTCAATGGCCCATTCGATGTTTTCACTCGCAACGGACGTCGCGACCGCTCCTCTCGAGCTGTAACACGCAGCATCCGAGGAGGCAACGGTCGATGACGCGCACGCTACAGCGTTCTCCACGGCAGCCGTGAACTTGTACACCTTGCCCATTAACGGTTCTAACAGCTCGAGGATGGAATTGCGGGTCTTCGTTAGAGCCTCTTGTAAGATGCTTGGCACTGAAAGCAATTACGGTCGCGGTAACCACTCGCGGTGGCGATTACGAGGAAGAGAATTCTCGCTCGATAGTTTCGTGGTCTTTCCTTCCCTCCCTCTCTCTCTCTCCCTCTCTCTCTCTCTCTCTCTCTCTCTCTCTCTCTCTAGCTTACTCATCGACCAGATTAATCAATTGTTCGCTCTTACGATCGTCGATTTCCTCGCCACCGCGTTGACAGTCCTTGTTAAACAACCGGATACCCGCGACTATGCACATCAGCTCCATCAGTTGCTCTTCTTTCTCCCGTTTCGGTAAAGTCACGTAGCGAGTCAGCTCGGAAGTCTGGAAGACGCTCTGCAACGCTACCGAGACCTCTCTAACGCGAGATATATTTCTTCAGTATTATTTCGACATCGATCTTTTTGCCGCAGATTTTATCGGGGCAATCAACAATATATTACTTTGAATAATTATACTCGTAGAGCAAGTACCGACGAATTTTATCCGCGATTTGTTGACATCGACATTCAATCACCGAATAGAACTGATTTATCTGTTAATCTCGAGTGTTTATCAAATTGATAAGAACATGATAAATGCCTCAAAACAGAAGGTATAGTAGGACTTCCCAGGCCGCTCAGCAGCGTTATCACCGTTAATATTTTCTGATATAATTTCTCCGTGTCCTTCGCACCCCTCAGTTTACCAGTTTCGCAGATCTCGGCTACCAAAGGCCCAGTTTTCTGATGCAGTCGTAGTCGATGTCTTTTGACGGTCTCATCTGTGGAAAGCGCGAGATAGCTTGAACAATTCTTACAGATAAAAATACCATCGTACATAACACTTCTCACCCCTCTCGTGATAGTGCTTGGTGAAGTACAATTGATTTCTTAAAGTTGTCAGACTGGGCTTGCTTTGGTCGCATAACCTCTCCGTTATAGCCTCGAGTATTCTCGCGTTGTGTTCCTCGTCCTTCTCCTTAATTCGATAAGATGGATTCAATTGGTAGAGGGAAAGCTGGAACCGTATTCGAGAAAGTTGCTGGTAAATTCAGATGAAAAATTTTACACTTTTTACCAATCTCATTGGTTCAATCAAGCCGACAAGCAAGTTACCAAAAATGAGGCCGAATCTTTGGTTATCGGTGTTTCGTTCGCTTTACATATGGTAACGATTTTCCTCGTTAATTCCTTTCGCACGTTTTCCATTCTTCCGTTCTTCTTGACTCGGGAATCTTCACTTGCTACAAATACGGAGATTGTTGCGAATCAAACTATCCATCTGTAACAGTTTGATCGATACTCGCGTGGAAACCGCCCGCTGTCACTAACGTTTCAACTCTAAAAATTCCTCAGATATCCTCATCGCAAAGTCCAGTCTTTGGCCTTTCTGTCTGCTATATAACGCGTTTATAATTTCTGCTCTATATTAACAACAATATTTATTAACAATAATATTTTAAAGCTTGTATGAAGCTGCATTTGAAAATCGGATTACTCAACAACGAGCAGTTTACAATCCTCTCATTGCGAAGCAATTTTCTCTTTATTTATATCATAGAAAAATTACAATAATCTCTCCCCCTCTCTCTCTCTCTCTCTCTCTCTCTCTCTCTCTCTCTCTGCCGCTCACAAAGAGATTACACGTATCTACGGGACAAACGTGAGTCACAGTCACAGTGTTTGAATTCCGTGCGTTATGGCGCGCTATCGTTCGTGCGCGCTCGGCCGTTTCCGCCAGCGGCGGCGGCTCGATAGGTGGTGGGAGAGTGGGAGGTGATCGGCCGCCTTCTCAGAGGTGTCGCAACAGTCTGCGCGATCGGAGCAGTCGGGTTGGGTGGTTGGTAGCAGTGTGGTGTGTACGCGCGCGAACCAGGTAGACGCGAGGTAGTCAACGTGCGTGCGTGCGTGCGAGCGAGCGAGCGAGCCCGAGAGGCGGTGTGTGCCGTCCGTTGTCATGACGTTTGCGTGAGTCGCGGGGCCAACGCGTCTAGCAGCCGGACAGCCGACGCGATCAACTCGTCAGGAACATGGCGCGCGATTCCCGGCGCGCGGATTCGCGGCGCGTCCCCGTCGTCGTCGGCGGCGGCGGCGGCGGCGGCGGCGGGGGCGGGGGCGGAGGCGGAAGCGGAGGCGGAGGAGGAAGAGACGGCGGTGGTGTTGCTCGTTCGTTGACGGTGCGGTGCAAGCTGCTGCTGGTCCTGGCGATGGTGCTGTTTGCGATCGTCGTCCCCGCTACGCACGCCGAGAGACAAGGTGAGTCTTTCTCTTCCTCTTCCCCAATACACACACGCGAGTGCGAGGCCGAGAGTTCTCGCTTTGCACGCGGCTGGAACAGAGTTGGAGCAGTTTCCAGTGGCGCGGCTCGCCAGCTGATGCTTGTTTGAAATCGGCCCCCGTCATGTTTACGCGGCCGCGCGCGCGCGCGCGTCCTGTCCTGCTTTCATTCCGGTTTGAAGTGTCGGGCAGATTACAGTGGCCGTTTACGGCTTTGCCAGATACGCGCTTATGGTTTGCGCGTCGATCATTGTGCGTTGACTCGCGACCACTCGGTTTATGCGTTGGCGAGTTCGGGCACACTTGGCAGCGCTTGCTGGAGAACATCGAGGATGAGGAGAGCACCGTGTTGTTATACGTGACGTTGGCCGATCGGCTTGCGCGCGCGCGAATTTTCTAGAATCTCAAGGTCAGTCGACTGCACTGCTCGCTGTTTATTCCGCTGTTCTTTCTCGTCGTCGTACGTGCGCTTGTCAATGTCACGAGTGACGCCCGCTGTCACTTTGTGTCGCTCGGCTGTCACTCGAGAGCGTGTTCGTATCCTTCAAGCTAAAGTCCACGGTAACGGGCGTGCGCGCCGCGACATTTCGCCGTGCGCGAAGCTCCGTTTTTTCATCGCGTTTCACTCGCGCCTCCGCCGCGATGCGTCCGTGAAATTTTAATGCTACGGTGGTCGCGGCCCGTAAGCGTCGCGGTCGGATAAAAAGCCGCGTCCGCGGCGCGTCTAAAATATGTGCTCCACAAGGCAGATGACCTCGGCGCGCTCGCGGTGGTACGAGCCGCAGGGGCGGGAATGCGACGAAATTAACGAGCGAGCTTGAATTCCGCCGAAGAAACGTTTGCACTCGCGAGTCGCGCGAGCAATGCGCGCTGAACGCACGCCGTGTTTTCGGCCTCGAGAAATGTCGTAAGAGAGTATGACGAAGCGATGCGCTCGCGCACGAGTCATCTAAACTGATACGACGATGCTCCGAGATCCGCGACGTCACGACGTTTTCTCCCGTCGACAGACGCGCGATCGACGGACGCGTCGATGCGTTTTGCTCGTCGCCGCGTAACGCGCTGCGCTTCCGTGGAGAGAGGAGGTCTGTTCTTTTTTTTTCGAACAACTTGCCAACCGGCGCAGCAGATTAGAGTGAGAGAAAACAGATCCGTCTCGCTGCTGCAACTTCCTGCTCCACTAGTCGAGAGGTCCTTCGAAAGAAAGAGAACAGACTTAATATCGCGATTCCGCCGTGCATTCGCGCGCGCGAGAGAGAGAGACAGAGAGAGAGAGAGACAGAGAGAGAGAGAGAGAGAGAGAGATCCGTTCCATCAGAGCGCATTCCGACCGCGCGGAGGATTCCTCTCTGTTTCGTCGTGCAATCTCGTCGCGATTCTATTTCAGGAGAGCCGCGTCCCCGAGGCTGTCCGCCACGCCGCCGTAGCCGCATTTGAATGAACGCTATTAAATCACGTGATACGCACTCACGCACGGCTTGCGTTTTAGGTGCGCGCGCGCGCGCGCTCAAAGATCATCTTGGCGTTGTTTTCCGCGAATTACGTCGGACTTGAGACTTGCGAGTCTTGTCGCTGCGAATTTTCATAATTAATTCGGTCCGCCGTCGCGCTTCCGCCGGATTCTCGCGCGATCGTCGACGCACGCACGCACGCACGCACGTCGAACTTTGCGTGCACGCAGTCTCTCTTTCATGCGCCATCGCACATTCAGAGTGGCGTGAGTTACGATGCTCTTTCATTCTGTTTGTAATGTCTGAATTGAATTCCCTAACGAAGAGCAATTCCCCGTTGCTGGAGCGTCGCTAATTACCTCGGTATACATACCGCCGGGGAGGACATCAAAGGACCGTTTTATCTTTAATGTAGAAAATTGATAAATAAGCAAATTTGTGTTTTATCGGGAAAACGATGCGATGCGTGTGGACTGGGGGAGGATAAGAGCTGCATATTTAATCGTCAGCGCGCGCTTCATTAATTGGCGGCGCTTCGTTAGCTTCGCGATAGCCGTTAACGCTTTATTCGCCGCGACAATAATTCGATCCTTTCGTCTCGCTCTCCGCGATTCCTTCATTTCCCGCCGCGTTACGGCGAGAAACTCGCCATCTTCGCGTCCTTCAGAACGATCGCGCGATGTAATGAGGAAAACGAGTGAAGGGGGGGAGGGGGTGTAAAGGAGACGCGCGCGCGCGCGCGCGCGGAGAGAGAAAGCGCAGCGTTGCGCGAGAGAGGATCATAATGATCGCAAGATCGTGATTTGATTCTGACATTCCGCGCGGCATGTCGTAAAGTTCGTTGCGAAAATTACGACCTGACGGCCGCGGCAGCACCGTGTTACCCTGGAAGGACGCGATGAATCACCATTCGCTTTGTATCGACGACCTTTCCGAGGCGTGAGCGTCGTACAATTATGCAAATTGCCGCGCGTGGCGTCGACTTCTTCAAATGAGATCGCAATCTGCAGGCTCGGCCGACGGCGACGAATCGCACGACTTGGCGCGATTAGCAGCGTGTGCGGTTGGAATGCGCGGAAGGAAAAACCGCGCCGGTGATTAAACCCAGCGGGGACTCGCGAGCGGATTTACAAGCCGCGACAAGTTCGCGTGGAGTCCTCCTCGTGGGACGATCGGAACGCCGCGGCGCGCATGAATCCATCATTTACCCAGCCGATCTCGTATCGAAATCGTATCGTTGCAACGCGCACCGTCGGGAATATTCGATGGGAGGAGGCGAACGCCGCACAGCCTCGCTCCTTCTCGATTATCGGCCGGATGTTAAATCTCAACTTAAGGAGAAGTTCCGTTCTCCGATGATAACGAAGATTATTAAATGACGCATCGGCTGCAGCCAGGTTGCGCGCAAGTATAAATAATCTCCTCTCTCTCTCTCTCTCTCTCTCTCTCTCTCTCTCTCTCTCTCTCTCTCTCTCTCTCTCACTCTCTCTCACTCTTTCTCCGAGAGCGAGGACGGTGGTGGTATCCTGACAAAGGACGCCGTGGAATTTATGTCCATTGTTGGACTCGCGAGCAGGCGGGCGAACGCGCGGGCAAGGCGAGGGGACGGCAAGGGGAGGAACGGAGGAACAGGGAGGATCGCCAGTTCGTCAATGCAGTCGATAAAAATTTATGGATGTATGTTGAATGTAAATGCGATAGCGGCGGCGGGATAAGAGGGGGAGGCCGAGCGCGCGAAGGATTTATAGGGATTTACATTACGATTTATTTATTCTTTCCGGTCACGTGAGACGAGCACGCGGGCGTCCGAAAATGGTCGGATTTAGGAGAAGAGCGGAGAGGAGTTTCGCTCCCCCGCCCTCCCCCCCCCCCGCCGTCCTAACGTTAAATCGATCGCCGCGCGAAATCCTCCGCATTTTTTCTTCCCCCTCCTCCCCCTGCGTCCTGCGTCCCTTTCTCTCGCCTCCTGCACGCCCTGCGCGGCTCTCTGGCCGAAAGTGTGTGCGGGATAATGGAATAGCGAGATCAAATCGAGAGCCGGCGTTTCCTCTAATGTCCGATATTAAGGGGGATAGAAGGGGGAGGGAGGGAGGGAGGGATCGTTCGCGAAAGAGAGACACGGCGAGGCAGAATTACGACGATACGACGTAATTATGCTCTACTACGAACGTATATCATCGGCATAAATCTCGGGGATAGTTAAATCCGCCGAGAGCTTTCGTATCCAGCGCGGCGCGCGCTCGCAGCTGCATGAAAAAGCCGCCAGCTGCAAATGAGTAATGTCAGGGTGTTCTCCCGCGAGCGCGCGATGTGTAACGCGCGGTGGGAAAACGGTTAATCACGCTCGCCGGAGATGGAATAGAGACGTACGTGCGATCTTTACGTCGGCGAGCGCGCTTCTTCGCGGCCGCAGTGGACGATCCGCCGCGCTGATCGCGTATCGTTCGTTTCCGTCCTCGAATCGTACAGCCGACTTAACGTTCTTCCGCTTCTGCTCCCGCGAGGTACTTTCGCGAAGTCGCGCTCGCGCAGTCGTCGTCGAGTTGCTGCCAGTCGTCCTAGTCTCTATCTCTCTCTCTCTCTCTCTCTCTCTCTCACTGATAGAAAAATATAGTTGAATTAACTATAATCTACTATAAAATACTATATTTTATAGTTTATTTTGGCGTCAAACATATTTTTATAGTTGGTGGAACGAGCAAAATATAGTAGAATAAACACAAATATATAGTCAATGATTGTCTGAAATAATTGTTCAGTTACTTTTACCACATATATATGGTAAGTTCTCATTCACAAATGTAGCGAGATTTAATATTCGTACAGTTACATCTGTCATCATTTAGCAAATATTCTGGTAATATTGACTCTATAAAAGAGTTACTTTACCTACCATTTTATATTTGTATCCATAGAATAATTTTAGTTTAACTTACTATAATTCTTATATAAAAATATTATATAGTTGGTTATACCATGCCTATATCGTAATTATTACCGATATTATGGTAATACTTATTATAAATATGATATTTCGGACTATAATTTAATTACTATATCATTATAGTTCCAAATATATACTCTCAAATATTTTCTCTCAGTGCTCTCTCTCTCTCTCTCTCTCTCTCTCTCTGCCGAGTTTTATCGCGGCTCCTTGCGATTGAGGCCGCCCTCTCGTGGCCGATGTCACCGAGTGTCGTACATCGTCGCCGGAGGATCGGAACGCGAATCGAGCTTCGTATGAAACATTAGCGCGACGCCGCAACGGTGCATCGACTTAATTAGCAGCGCACGTCGCGGCAGCGGACTCGCCGAGAGAGTCCGAGTCTCGCTGGTAGCGCGCTCATTATTCTCTCGTCCTTCTCGGAATGCTCGACAGGCCGTGAAGGTACTGGCTGGCAAAAAGACCTTGAGGCCCCACCGCTGATGGTGCTTGAGTGTACCGAGAGCCACGGATTTTATCTAACGACTCCCCTCTCGCTATTCAACCGTGCTTCTTCTTACCGCGCGCTCTCAACCCTTTCGGCA